TTGAGTCTCTTAATCTTTTCCTAGAATCTTTTAAACTTCATTTGAGAACCTTAAACTTACCCAGAGTATCTTAACCTTGTGGATCTTACAAACCAATTTCCAATGCTTCCTTGACGACAGTGTTAGAGGTTTGAAGAACAAACAAACGTAAAGTACATACTAGAGCAAATGGGTGAGGTCGAGTTTTAGACCCTCAAAACCACGATACATGCATCTCCTCCCTTTCAATAGGTAGGAGACAGATGACGTGGCCAGTTTAACTAAACCAACCACCCCTCTGATTTTCTCAAACTACTATTAGGTTTTACTTAATTTAACTGAGCTTCCAAACATGATTGAATTAGTAGCAACCTCGAAATTCTCACAAAGTTACGTGTAGGAATCACTTAGATAAGCCCTCAAATGTTAATTTTATTTAATTCTAAATGAATAGGAAATTGTCTTAATCGGTAGTAGATTGCACATGGTCTAAGTTGGGTTGAGTTGAGAGAATTTTTTTGTACAAATATTTTAATTGAAAATATTTGTACAAATTCTCACAAAGTTACTGGTAGGAATCACTTAGATAAACCCTCAAATGTTAATTTTATTTAATTCTAAGTGAATGGGAAGAGTTTAAGACGTGAAACATACGTTAAGGACATAACAAATTGTCTTAATCGGTAGTAGACTAACCTTCAAAGTTAGAAAGCCCTAAATATTGGAAAAATAAAAAAAAAATATATATAAAATGTGATATAACAATGTTGTATCAGATAGATAATAAATATATTGAAATTTAGAATTATTTTCATTTTTATAACAAAATTTTTAAATCTATTGATATCCAATTTTGTATCTCCTATTTTAGGTGTTAAAAGAATTCTTAAAATAATCAAAAAATCTCGCGCTTGTATTACATCTTGATCGAGGAGGTACAGTAAACACTAGAACGGTCAAAATATTTTGGACAACTTATTTATTCGGTATTTAAATTTATTTACTTTCCAAAGTCAGATGATAAAAATGATAGATTGGAAAATAAAAAAATTCTAAAAACTTCAACGTCCCTTTCCAACCAACCCAAATATAGACATTTTTGAGTTTCAAAAAATTTATTTTATAATCGGTAAACAAAAAATAATACACTTTAAAATTATTCAAATAGTATTCTATGAATATTGAACACTATAGCATTTATTTCAAAATAACAAAATAACCTATATATAGGTATAAATCATAATTAATAGTATAAAATGTACCAATAGTTATATTAATTTATTACACTAATGTGTTTTAAAATAGTATGAAATGTTAAGATATTTAAATATATATATATATATATATAACTAAATAAAATTAAATAATTAAAAAAATTAATGTATTAGATTAGCTAGTGTCTATTATTACTATAAATTTCTTATTATATTTTATATATTTTTATTTGACTTGGTCGAGGTTTAATTCCATGAACCTAAAATCGAATCGAAACCGTTTGGGTAAGAAAAATAAGCTCAACCCAAATCTTATAGTTCGGGTTAGGTTGGTTCGAGTTGTTGGATTGTCGGGTTGAATGTACATTCTCAAAATTTGTCAGCAAACTGGAATAACTGAAAAATAAGAAATTAAAATTAAATTATAGTCTCCTCAATGGCATTTTCGTAATTTCACATCATCGACACTTTTATCCCATCACTCTTTTTATGGAATATGTTCCAATAATTTTTCTTCTACTAAATATATATTTATGAGCACACACTACTTTATTTATATATATATATATAAAAAAGTAAAATCATCGGTTAATAGTGCAATAAATAAAGATTCTGTGGAAGGCATAAGGATTTAATTCAAAATTTTAATCTTAAAAAAGATAAAGGATTTAATTTTCAAAATCCTAATCTTAAAAGATAAAGATTTAATTTCTTTAAATTCAAATTCAAACTATAAAATAGGGATGGAATTGTTTTGAAGGCATAAAAAAATATCATTTATCAATTTGTAGTTCTCTAAAACTCTCTCAATTTTTCTCTCTCGATTCTAGATCCGATTTTTCTAAATTTTTTAATTCTTCTGCTCTTAGTTCTTAGTTCTTCAGCATTTTTTCTAAACGATTCAATCGAGATGGCAGCACAAACAGAGAAACTTCAAAGCAAAAAGGCTTCTTACATTGTAACAAAGCATTGTAATATCGATAAAAGAGAGTTGTGGGTATCCATTTTGAACCCTATGAAACTTTACATTGGCAAATGGCAGGTAAAGTCATTTGGGTTTGTTTTATTTTACAAAGATTTTTCTTAGCTTTTAAATCTTTTATTTTTCTTGTTTTTGTTGTAGCTTCCGCTGTCGAACACGAACAAGTTGGTCGTAAAGGGCTTATTCGTCAAGAAGCAGCTATGCTATGAGATCTCGAGCAATGGGTGCAGAGTAAAAATTGAAATTGACTGGTCAAATATCATAGGAATAAGAGCGGCAATGAAAAAAAATGAACCCGGAGTTCTTGAAGTGGAGGTTGCTTCCTTTTTCTTTTCTTTTCAAATATGTTATAAACTATTTTAATTTGAATATTCGAATTTTGTAGCTATCAGAACCACCTAAATTTTATAAGGAACTCGGACAAAAAGACGTGGGCGCACATAGCCAATGGGTCGATGGATCAGATTTCACCCGAGGTCAAGCTTCGACATGCAGGTTTGAACGATCTATTTGATTTTGAATGGTTATAGACATGCTCGTTAAAGTTTGATTATATAAACTGTACAATTTTATTCGTTTTAGGAGGCATTTCATTATGTTTCCACCAACAATTTTGGACAAACACTTTGAGAGATTGATAAGATTTGACGAGAGATTGTTTATGTTAAGCCAAAGGCCATATCCAACCTTCAATGTTCCTTACTTTCATTCACAACAATTTTTACAAACTGCTCTTCAAACCCCCTTTAGAAATTCAAATGCCCCAACGTCTGATGCTGATCCCAGCTCTACACAGCTCTACACATCAGATTCAAATGATCCAACCAGCTGATGCTGATCCCAGTTCAACACATCAGATTCAAATGCTCCAACCAGTTGATGCTGATCCCAATTCAACACATCAGATTTAAATGCTCCAACCAGCTGATGCTGATCCCAGCTCAACACATCAGATTCAAATGCTCCAACCAGTTGATGCTGATCCCAGTTCAACACATCAGATTCAAATGCTCGAACCAGNTCATAGGAATAAGAGCGGCAATGAAAAAAAATGAACCCGGAGTTCTTGAAGTGGAGGTTGCTTCCTTTTTCTTTTCTTTTCAAATATGTTATAAACTATTTTAATTTGAATATTCGAATTTTGTAGCTATCAGAACCACTTAAATTTTATAAGGAACTCGGACAAAAAGACGTGGGCGCACATAGCCAATGGGTCGATGGATCAGATTTCACCCGAGGTCAAGCTTCGACATGCAGGTTTGAACGATCTATTTGATTTTGAATGGTTATAGACATGCTCGTTAAAGTTTGATTATATAAACTGTACAATTTTATTCGTTTTAGGAGGCATTTCATTATGTTTCCACCAACAATTTTGGACAAACACTTTGAGAGATTGATAAGATTTGACGAGAGATTGTTTATGTTAAGCCAAAGGCCATATCCAACCTTCAATGTTCCTTACTTTCATTCACAACAATTTTTACAAACTGCTCTTCAAACCCCCTTTAGAAATTCAAATGCCCCAACGGCTGATGCTGATCCCAGCTCTACACAGCTCTACACATCAGATTCAAATGATCCAACCAGCTGATGCTGATCCCAGTTCAACACATCAGATTCAAATGCTCCAACCAGTTGATGCTGATCCCAGTTCAACACATCAGATTCAAATGCTCGAACCAGCTGATGATGATCCCAATTCAACACATCAGATTCAAATGCTCCAACCAGCTGATGCTGATCCCAACTCAACACATCAGATTCAAATGCTCCAACCAGCTGATGCTGCTCCCAATAATGCGCCAATAATGTGTCCTAATGGAATTTCAAATGGGTACTCAAATGGATGCATCAGCCTCTCGAATGGGCGAATAATGCATCCTAATGTAATTTCAAATGAGCCGACCAATAATTATCCTAATAGACTATCAAATTCTCAGCAAGAAAGTTCAATTATTTACTTCCCAACGTTTCTAAAATAGGTTTTTTTTTTTTTTTTTNATTGTTTATGTTAAGCCAAAGGCCATATCCAACCTTCAATGTTCCTTACTTTCATTCACAACAATTTTTACAAACTGCTCTTCAAACCCCCTTTAGAAATTCAAATGCCCCAACGGCTGATGCTGATCCCAGCTCTACACATCAGATTCAAATGATCCAACCAGCTGATGCTGATCCCAGTTCAACACAATCAGATTCAAATGCTCCAACCAGTTGATGCTGATCCCAGTTCAACACATCAGATTCAAATGCTCCAACCAGCTGATGCTGATCCCAGTTCAACACATCAGATTCAAATGCTCCAACCAGCTGATGCTGATCCCAGTTCAACACATCAGATTCAAATGCTCCAACCAGCTGATGCTGATCCCAACTCAACACATCAGATTCAAATGCTCCAACCAGCTGATGCTGCTCCCAATAATGCGCCAATAATGTGTCCTAATGGAATTTCAAATGGGTACTCAAATGGATGCATCAGCCTCTCGAATGGGCGAATAATGCATCCTAATGTAATTTCAAATGAGCCGACCAATAATTATCCTAATAGACTATCAAATTCTCAGCAAGAAAGTTCAATTATTTACTTCCCAACGTTTCTAAAATAGGTTTTTTTTTTTTTTTTTATCTATATCGATTATTATACTATTTTAAGTCATCTATAAATAAACTCTAGTCCTTGGGAAGTTTTACATTCCAATGTCTCCATGTATATTTGTCTTTCCATAGATTGACTTCTGAGTTGTGTGATTCTAACAAATGGTATCCGATCTAAGAGGGATTGAATTTATGCCCTAAAACTAGTTTTGTAATTAATTATTTAATAGTTAATAATAATTTTTTATTATTTTATTTACAATTTAATGTTATTGCTTATATAAAAATCTAAGGTAATTAATGTAATCTTAAACTCGGGGTATACATGGTCCGAGTTGGGTTGAGCTGGACTGGGTTGAGGGATTTTTTTTATCCAATCTAAGAGTTTGATTGGTTGGATTGGTAACCAAATCCAACCCGAAAATTTTCACAATCTACCCAGCACAATCTTCTATTTGTTAGTTGAGTTTCATAAACAAACCCAAATCAATCTATAATTATTTAAAAAAAAAAACAAATTGATCAACAACCATAATAAAAGAGTTGTAACACCTTAAAATGGTGGAACAATAATTGATTATTCTAAAAATGAGAAAAATATAAGGATAGAAAAATAAAAATGATGAGATAAGAACGATACATAACAAAAAAAAAAAAAAAAAAAAAAAAAAATAATAATAATAATAATAATAATAATAATAATAATAATATATATACCAAAATTCTCAATGCAATTTATAAGTTTTGTATGGTTTTGGGTCGATCCGAGTTTTTTATCCTATGAACCCGAAGTCGAACTGAGTCACTTCGAGTTCAAAAAATGCAACCCAACCCAACCCGAAATATTAATCCAACTCAACACAACCCCAGAATTCGAGTTGGGTTGGTCCAGGTTGTCGGGTTGGATGTACACCCCTATCTTGAACAATATGTGGTTGACATACAAAATGATCATATTCAAGTAATAACCTAAATGAATTTTAGTATATGGATAAAGATGGGTATCTTATCATGTTAACACTATTGATACTACCCACTTTCTAATCGTTACAAATAATTTGATCAAAGTCGTTCATGTGAAGACATTTGAGTGGAGTATCTAATAAAATGAGTTTTTACAAGACTGAACAAATAAATATTTAATCTCTTTTTATGAATCTGTTAATTGAGAAGATTAATATTGCACATCATGATTATATGCGACTCNAAAAATGAGAAAAATATAAGGATAGAAAAATAAAAATGATGAGATAAGAACGATACATAACAAAAAATAAAAAATAATAATAATAATAATAATAATAATATATATATATATATACCAGAATTCTCAATGCAATTTATAAGTTTTGTATGGTTTTGGGTCGATCCGAGTTTTTTATCCTATGAACCCGAAGTCGAACTGAGTCACTTCGAGTTCAAAAAATACAACCCAACCCAACCCGAAATATTAATCCAACTCAACACAACCCCAGAATTCGAGTTGGGTTGGTCCAGGTTGTCGGGTTGGATGTACACCCCTATCTTGAACAATATGTGGTTGACATACAAAATGATCATATTCAAGTAATAACCTAAATGAATTTTAGTATATGGATAAAGATGGGTATCTTATCATGTTAACACTATTGATACTACCCACTTTGTAATCGTTACAAATAATTTGATCAAAGTCGTTCATGTGAAGACATTTGAGTGGAGTATCTAATAAAATGAGTTTTTACAAGACTGAACAAATAAATATTTAATCTCTTTTTATGAATCTGTTAATTGAGAAGATTAATATTGCACATCATGATTATATGCGACTCGATCTTAATCCTGAATAAATGATGAACTCTTGCCTACGATGTAACGACCCTAGATTTCTATTTACCTAGAGTCTCTATCTTCATCATAACAAAATCATTTTGTGTCTGTAACGACCCTAGATTTCTATTTACCTAGAGTCTCTATCTTCATCATAACAAAATCATTTTGTGTCGAAATAAGCGTTTAAATTTCATCATAAAACATAAACTTCATCTTAAAATACTATCATGGATTTATGTGTTCAAAAACATCATTAAAACGACACTACTAAATACTAAAGTGTGAAAAAATAAATGCAATTTATGTGTTCAAAAACATCATTAAAACGACACTACTAAATACTAAAGTGTGAAAAAATAAATGCAACTATCCTACACGTGTCATGGTCTCGAATGTGATGTCACCCTACAAGAATCTCTTGTCTTTACCTAAAATAGAAGTCACGTGTCATGGTCTCGAATGTGATGTCACCCTACAAGAATCTCTTGTCTTTACCTAAAATAGAAGTGGAGAGTAGTTTAGTATTTTAGAAATACTTAGTAAGTGACCCACTATTAGGGCTAAATGCAAATACATACGATCATGAGTGAGATCTATCATATCAGTCTATATTTCTTAGGCGGCTATTGTAAACGGGCTAATTGTTTATGTATTTACTGTTTTACACACAGTTTACACATGTGAGTATGTACCCATTAGTCGGTTTACACCTCTTGGGCCCCTTTCTTGTCAGATGAGCATTCTCTAATAGTTGTTGATGCCAGACACCTGTGAGGAATAATGGTCGTTGCAGTATTATAATAAATATAATGATCATTTTCCTGCCTCGTAATGTACTCGTCTGTACCATCATGAAAGAGGGGTATTTCTCAATGTATGAACACACAATGATGCATGAGACCCAATAGTTTTATTCATTATCATGTTAGACAACCCCTTCCATTCTTCATTTATAGTATATCATTTTCATCATAGCTTTCTATACATAAATCGGGGTTGTGCATTATGTCGACACATTTTTCCGTGTATCATTCATATCATGCATCGTGTCATATCATGTCATGTCATATCAATCATCAACATATCATGTAACATCATGTACTATATCACCGAACATGTCACACATAACATTTATCATATCATCAGTACATCACATATCATACCATTTGTCATAACATTCACGTATCATCTCATAGTCACATTGTATCACGAACATATCATGTACTTATCCTTCGTAAACATATTATAGTCATATCATTTCGAAAACATGTCACATTCCTATCGTTTCATAAACACACCCTTGTCATGTCCTTTCATAAACATATTATAGTCTTATCGTTTCATACACGTATCATAATCATACTATTCCATAAACATATCATAGTCATATCATTTCATAAATGTATCATAGTCCTATCATTACATTAACAAATCATAGGTATATCATTACATAAACATATATTAGTCATAACATTTCATAAGTGTATCATAGTCCTATCACTACATAAACACATCACAGTCATATCATTACATAAACACATCACAGTCATATCATTTTATTAACGTTTCACACATATCAGACATATAACACATGCAGATCCACAGGACATGTGTCATCATACAAACATCAACTTTTAATTGTACCGATAGTAAGACCTCTTACTTGGTTGGTTTTAGTCGGCATTCTCCCTAAACTCAAGTACGTTTAAATTTCGTCTCTCAAAGTTGCTCCAAGTATCATCAGGGATTGTTTCCTATTCGAAAGTCCATATAGTTTTCATTAATAACTCACATTTCTACCCTAAATCAACTTAAACTTGGAAATATGACACTATACTGACCTTAATTGCCTTGATTAAAGTCAAATTCAGCTTCGACAAGGTAAAAAAATGTAGGAATTGATATCAAAATGTCTATATCAACCGAATAACTCATTTTTGAGCCGTTAGAGCCGTCGAGACACCACTAGAGTCGATGACAGTCTTGAAACCTTAACCATGTTAATACCTTTTGAAACAACTTGACATTGGTAGAAAAAGTTCATCAATAATTTTCTACAAAAATTTGTTTATATTGAGCTTTTGCAATGTATTTGTGTAGGGGTATAGGGAAGATTACCACTCATGTGGAATCACTACAAAGAGAATAAGATTTAGATTACCTTGTTGATCGAATATCTCAAGGCAAGAACACTTGTTGGAGATTCGAATCACTTCACAAGCAAGATCGATCATGTCTAGCTCGAATGATTCTACATACAACCTAAACTACATAGAATTGCAAAGAAACTTAGCCGTTGGCTAAAGAAAAGCACAAATGCTCATTTTACTACAATCTTGGAGTGTTACATCATCAATGGAATAATGTGTCAACATGATATTCCATAACATGAAATATCTTGTAATTACAACATATTTGACATGATATTCCATAACATGACATATCTTGTAATTACAACATATCATAACATATTAAGCAAACATTAAACAATCCCAAGATACGATATGTACAAGGGAAACAGGCACGTGTCTTTCATACTTCAAGCAATTTATTCGACCAAATAAGCAGTGAT